CAAATGATAGACTTAATATCTTGTATTGTTTCAGAAAGCCTCTCCAAAAGAGGAGATTTCACCCTCATCAGATAAAATATTCAAAGAGGATGATTCCCACTTTTCAATTGTTCCAAACTGAGAACTTATCATTGTTCATATTGCTAAGTTAATGAGGCATAGAGGTCCCTTATCAACTTCTTGCAGAGTTTTTGGTATTAGCAAGAGAGCTGGAACAATGTGTGAATGCAGCCTTTCTTTCACATGTCCTTTGATCATTGATAGAAGTTGAATTCTCAGCTAAGAATATGGCTCAAGGTGATGACTTGAGAAGTGACTCTGCGAGTCTATGGTACTTTGTAAGAACACTCTATGGGCCAAGGGGAATAACTTTTCTGTTCTAGTTCCATGGCAGAGTCAAACCTATACTCTTCTCCCTGCCATTGTAAAAAAGGGCTAAGAAGCACTTAATTTTGGGTGGTGCCCTATGTGAGTACTGTGCTGGTATGTTGTTTTATTTCTGAGAGGATGAGTGGTTAATCACAATGTTTCATTTCCATTCCATTTAGCTGTTTGTTCCAGAATCTCAGTTGGGATGCCACATGCTATGCATGTTAACTCAGAAGTGAGAAAAGAAAATGTTCAGAAGAGGTTATTACCAGGTAAGTGGGCACAGAATTGCAACCTTAAAGTATGTCTGTGACATAGCCTAACTCAGATATCTCTTCAAAATAGGAGTCAACCTATTAGTTTTTTCAATTTATTTTTTCACTAAAATGGGCTGCTTCTATTTTTAAGGGGTGGAAACCCCAAGCCCCCTGCAAACTGCTGGATGCTCCCGATTGGAGTAAAACACTCCTTCAAGGTGAAATAGCAGAAAGCTGGAGGTGATTTTCAAGAGAAACCCATGTGGACCCCAATCAGGATTGAGAGCACGTACTGGACTGGGATCCTAGGACTCTTTCTTTCTTTCTTTCTTTCTTTCTTTCTTTCTTTCTTTCTTTCTTTCTAAATAGCCAATACAGTTTTTTAAAGGCATATAACATGAGGGTCGCGGGTGGCGCTGAGGTTTTAGGGCTTGCTGATCGCATGGTCAGCGGTTCGAATCCCCGCGGCGGGGTGAGCTCCCATCATTTGGTCCCAGCTCCTGCCCACCTAGCAGTTCGAAAGCACCCCTAAGTGCAAGTAGATAAATAGGTACCGCTTTCTAGTGGGAAGGTAAACAGCGTTTCCGTGTGCTGCGCTGGTGCTGGCTCGCCAGAGTAGCTTCGTCACGCTGGCCATGTGACCCGGAAGTGTCTCCGGACAGCGTTGGCCCCCGGCCTCTTAAGTGAGATGGGCGCACAACCCTAGAGTCAGACACGACTGGCCGGTACGGGCAGGGGTACCTTTACCTTTACTAACATGAGCAATTTGGTCCTAAATTGTACTGTTTTGTGAATTAATTAAAGGGGCACAGCAATCTTCATTTACTTATAGCAAGATACATAAAAATCCAGCCATTCTAAGCTTCAAATTGTTTAAGAAAAAAAGGCACCTGTTGAATTAAAAAGTTGAAACTTGGAGTGCATGGTATCTCTGGTGAGGACTAGAAGTGTGCCAAATTTCAAATTGATCTGATAAAAATTGCCACAGCAAATTAAAAAGTTCTGACAAATGAGGCATTCAATCTTCTAATTTAATTTTTAAATTTAACTCTTTAATTTTAAATTTAACTTAAAGCCTATGGCAGCAATTGCTGGCATAGTTAGACGCTCAGTTTGATTCTGAAGCTAGAATGCTGCCAGTACTCCCTGTTTACACACAGTCATCAAGTGGATGCTATGCACAATGCTTATTTCTTAGGAAATGGGAGGGGACATGGAATACTCAAGTAGGGTAAGAGAAGAGATTGGGACCTCCTTCTGAGTTTCTGAAAGCTGAAATGCAGTATGAGGTCCCTACTTTCTGCTATTTCTTTCTGTGTGCAAGTGGTGGGATAAGGACATGCAAGAACCCTAACCCTAACCCTAAAAGGACATGCAAGAATCAAGGTCTCTCATGACATTCTGGCTTTAGCAAAGGGCTGCTAGGGGGACCAGGAAAGGCATGCAAGGAATGTGCCTGGAGGCAGCGGCTATCAGTTGGTGCCCCATTCAACTTACCCTTGTAGGCATGTGCATAGCCTCTTATAATAGAAAATCCTTCAATGTGGAGCAGTAATTGAAGTAGCAGCAGAATAAAAGAGATGGTGAAATTTGTAGTAAGGTAACAAAAGATAGAAAGAAGGAAACTGGAGAGAACAAGCTGAAAAAAGACAAATGATTCATGTGTGGTACAGTATGCAGAGGTGGGCTGAAATGTTTCTGCACGTGAGACAAAAATCCCACTGCTACCCCCACAATGGAGTGCATCTGAGGCTCTGCAAGGACTTCCACTCAATGAAAAGACCTTGCAAAGCCTCACCACCAGGCGACGGTGGTGGGGCAAACTCTGCAAGGGCATCTGGAATATCCCATACTTGCCAAAACTTGATGAGAGGGGGCTGTCAAAGAGCTTTGGTGCTGACCTTCCTCTGTCCCTAGGGGTCAGGGCTACACCAGTGCCTGATGTGGTGTGGAAGATGGGCAGCACCTCTTGTATTTCTGCTTCCTGAGGCAGCTGCTTCACCCTGCCTCATCTGTGGGCCGGCTCTGGCAGTGGGTAGACTTGGAACAGGGAGAATGAACTCTGCTCAGAACTCTGCTCAGAATGAACTCTGGCTACCTGGAGTTATTGGTTCTTGTAAATGTGTGCCTTCCAATGAAATGATTACTATCAGTTAAGTATTTGTAATTCTGTCTCTCTTTTAAATTTGCCAGAAAACAGATTCAAATCCCTTGCAAAGAGCGTGGGATTGCCAACACGAAAACGACAAGTTTCTTTTTCAAAAACCAGGGAGATTCAGTGATAAAAAGCCTGTAATTTAAGACCAGAATAATGCACAGCATTACAAATTGTTCTTTCTGACTAACACTTCCTTCACCCAAACCTTGGCTTGGTCTTTCAGGTGAGGAAGGATTACCTGGGAGCAGCAAAGATGCCCGTGTTGTTCTGGTGTTGTTATTGTTTAGATTTCTTACCTGCACTTCTCCATGAGGTCCCAGGCGAGGTTACAGCAATACAGCAATAAAATATTAAAATCAGTTATATTTATTGCCCTCCTGCATTGCCTTATGCAGCATCTAAGCCAAGGATGGGGAACCTGTGGCTCTCTGGAGGTTGTTGGACTCACCCCCCCCCATGAAGGTTTTGCTGCAAGTTATTTTTAACTGATTTATTGTTTGGGTGGGGTGTGTGGAATCTAGGTTTTCATCTTCATATGTTTTCTAAATCAGGCCCACTGTGAGTCAAATTGCACATGTTAGATATTGACAATATATCAACAGAAGGGTGTTAGGAGACATTATTGCTAAGGATTTTGTTAGGTCATTTTGACACAAAGTGCTATAAAGCCAAAGTTTTAGGAACAGCTCTTAAATACAGAAGATTTTGAAGTATGAGATGAATAATTGCTCAATAAAAACCTTATGAAAGAAACAACACTTTCCCAATAATTTCTTGGAAGCTTTGGGCAAAACAGAATTGCCTTTGCTACCTTTCATGTTCCTCTGCTTCAGCAGCAAAAACCAAACCAAACCAAACACTGGCAAGCAAATTACATCTATGCCAGGGACAGTCTTTATTTATATATGAAAAAGCTCATTGTCTTTTAAAAACCTGTAGGCAGGTAGTCAGCTGGCTAAGTTTGTCTTTCCTCTGTATAATCCATTTCCCCCCCTTTTAATGTGATGACAGCTTATTAAGAAATCCAAACAGAAAGTGGGAGGGAGAGAGAGAGAAACAGAGGGTGCAAAAAGAAAAGTCAATTCATTGCAAGCGAAGCTAGGCTGAGTTCCTGTGGAAAAAGTACCTTATATCACATTCATGCCTCTGTGCGGCAAGATGCTAAGCTGACTTTCTCTGCATTAAAAGACATACTGAGCTCCCTAACAGCACCAAGTGCTCCAAAACATAGGCAGCAGGGTGAGGGGGTGTGGTAGAAGCCCAGGATCTTTAGAAAGAGCAATACACTTTTCTTTAATCTCAAAAGGTTTTCAACACACAAACAGTGCCTGTCCGAAGTTTCCCTTCCCCAACTCAGTACAAAACAAGAAAAGGGAAGGAAGAGTTAAGAGGGCAGGAAAAAATATACAAGGTGGTATGTTTAGGAATAAAAGCTATACACACCCATGTGTTAAGGCATGACCCATTTCAAAGCAGTGAGCCCCAATGGGCTTTGCTGTTTAGCTACAACTATTTGTTTGTGCACTGAGCAGCATGCAGCAAATAACAACCCCGGCTCCAGGATGAGCAGGCAAAGGTCCCACAAAGACTGCAGCCCTAGGCACACCTGGTGGGGAGTCAGTCTCTCAGCAGGACGTGCATCAGAATCATGCTACAATATAAACAGTACCAAAACAGCCAGGCCAAGACTGGAGAAAGCAACAGAGGGAAAATTAAAGGGAGCAGGAATTCCTGTTTATATTGTCTGAATGCCACCTTCTCCCCAGAGAGCCCTCCTTAAGCTTTCCAAAGTCACAGTGCAGCTTCTTAGTCCCGATTTAAACTGGCGTTCCCGATGCAACAGAGGACAGGACTTCAGTACCGCCTACAGGTATGTAGGAAAGTGAGTTTTGGCAGGCACAGCTTCTTATGTCACAGTGCCATGAGAATGAGAAGAGCGTCACTTCATGCAACTCCCTCCTCCGTACCAAAGGCACAACAGCCTTGTCCTCTGCTGCATCAGGTCACCTGGAAACCATTTTGCCTAATGCTGCCCACTGGAAGCCCCAATGGCCATCCTTCACTATGTCCACCACCCCCTAAAGGCATTCTAGCAGAGCCCTTGGCAGTGCAGCCAGCCAGCCAGCCAGCCAGGTTTTCTACAGGCTAGCACTGAGCAAAAAGCATGCACAGGTAGAGGCTCAAAAGCGTCCCACTGCGGAGCACGCACATCTCACCTCCAGGCTTGGTCCGCTCATCCCATGCCAAGGAAATGATCTTCAGTTTGGCATCTCCAGTCAGCAGCACCAGGCGTGAGAGTCCCTAAAGGCAATGGTATAATAGTCCAGTCTGTGAAGAGGGTGGCACCTCTGTAAACAGCAACTGAAGTGAAGTGTAGCAGTAAAAGCAGCTGAGACGACTCTGGCTCAGGAACTGCAGCCGGCACGGCTTCTTCTATTGTTTCATAGAATAGGAGAGCCAAACTAGGTTCTCTCACCGCCACCTGCTGGATATTTAAATCACTACTCCATCAAATCCTATCGGTTCCTAAGTAATACACTTACTCCTGAGAAAGCCCCCGAGAGCTATTGCGAGCACCAAGTGCCGCTCCCGTTTACATCACAAATCACTTTCAAAGTAGAGGATGTCATGCGGGAATGCATGAAGGTTTGTAACTGTCGGTGGCAGTTCAGTATTACAATCCTGCCACCCAGGATCTGTAATCTCATCCACATCACAGAATCTCATCACCCTTCAGCCACCTGAGCAAATAGTCCAAAGAATCACCAAAACTCAAAACTCACCTGCCAGTTTCTTCATGTTTCTCCAGAGTTTCTCCAGGGTTCTTTAACCCTGGAATATCTGTTGTTTCTGAAATTCCAAGGATCAAATCTGAATCTATATTCACATGAGTCACGTTTCTTCAATTTTGTATTGTTCAGATCTTTGGTAAACTGCTTTGAGAGTCTCCTGGGGCAATAAATTGGAATATAAGTATTCTAAAGAAATAAATATCACCTGCTTTTCATATCTTAGAATCCTTTGGACCCCAGAAACATACCTGTGTTTCTTCAGGTCACTAGACTGAAACTCATCAGTCAGAATGACTTAGGGATGATGGGAGTTGTAGTCCAACAACACCTGGGAAGCCACAGGTTCACCACCCCTGCTTTAAAGAAAAAACTGACATGCTGTACTAGTGAGAAGCAAAATTCTATTTTCCTATTAGCTAATCATTTAACATTTACCACGTAATATCTCCACCCACCCACCCTAGCACAGTATTAGCAATCCAATATTTTCAAAGGAATGGCAGCAAAATACTCCTATTTTCCTAAGAAAAAGAGAGTTGAAATCACCTTAATTTCCTTCTATAAGGCAGTTTGTCAATATATTTTTTATGTTTTAATGTAAACATCCATTTCCATTCGATACTCTGTTACTGCACTCACAATATGCCAGCTATCTTTCTTTATCCATTCTGGCAATTTCAGTGGAAGAACATCTCTTCCTTTTAATAGCCTCAGACAACAATTTTGGTAATTGCAGGCTTATTTGCTGGTTATGCAGTCTGTTCCAATCGCTGTAAAATATCTCTTTTCTGCATGGTTTCTGGTCTTTTCTGCATGGTTTGGAAGTCTTTTCTGCATGGTTTGCCTGCCATGTCATTTCTCATATGCCTCCTGCATCATCAGCACACCCTGCCTTGTTTACAACAAGGGGAAGACTTTTTATCCCATCTCCCTCCTCCTAATTCTGGTAGGCAATTCATGGTACTCTCCAGATGTTGTCAGGCTACAACTTCCTTTAGTTCCAGCCAGCCTGTGCGATCGTCAAGGATGATGGGAGTTGAAGTCCAGCAAATCTGAAGGGCACTTTAGAATTTCTTAATAATTTCAGTGGGTGAAGGATTGAGCTTGCTTCATTATTGTGAGGTGGCCAAGAGGTAGTGTTTGCCATTTACTTTCAATTAAACATTTTTTCAGGCTCTGCAACCTGCCAGGCTCATCTGAAGACACCCATGAAGTTTCTGTGGGCTTTCACTGAAGCATGAGAACTTGGAGAGGCCAGCTGCCAGGTGCCTAAGATCAGTATGATAACTGATTTTGTATTTAAGAAAGTAGTTTCTTTTAGCTTACATTCCCACCCCCTTCTACACACACACTGATTTATTTAAAAGTAAAAAGCCATTGCATAAATAATGATAATGATAAAATAGCTGTTAGGTCAGGAGAATAGTAGGCAGCCTTCCCAGATCTCTGAGCTTGTAGAAAAAATTAGCTAAGGACATCATGGGTTTTTCAGGAAGAATGGGCAACCAGGAGGCTGTATAATGCAGACTGCTGGAGATAGAATTTGCATAATGAAGGTTCTTGGCCACCTTGAAAGCAAGGCAAGTGCAACAAAAACCCCATTAGAATTTCACCAGAATTGTCTCACACCTTTCATATTTTTTGAATGCAAATTCTTTTTTTCATTAATTAGTGGACCACCATAAAAACCCACACATAATAAATAATCAGCAGAGCACTAGTTGCTTCTGTTCTATTTAAAGGACCTGAATGTTCCCAATACAGTGGTACCTTGGTTCTCAAACTTAATCTGTTCCGGAAGTCCATTCCAAAACCAAAGCGTTCCAAATCCAAGGTGTGCTTTCCCATAGAGAGTAATGCAAAAAGGATTAGTCCATTCCAGACTTTTAAAAACAACTCCTAAAACAACAATTTAACATGAATTTTACTATCTAATGAGACCATTAATCCATAAAATGAAAGCAATAAACACTGTACTACAGTCACTCACTCACTCACTCACTCAATCAGTAGCTGAACTGGATTCCACACAGTCGCAAAAACAAAACACAAAAGCCACAAAAACGCAAAATAAATAGCAAAAACAGACAGATCTCAGCGTAACACTCAAAATGGAAGTGTGGCACTCAAATCGGAAGTGTAACACTCAAAACAGAGCACATTGGACTTCTGAGGGGAAAAGAAGTTCACAAACTTTTCACTTACTTCCAGGTCTGCAGTGTTTGGGTGCCAAGTTGTTTGAGTCCCAAGGCATATGAGAACCAAGGTACCACTGTAAAGGGATGGCTGCTGCAGGAAGGGAAGAGCTGTAGCTCAGTGATGGGAGAACTCTAGGCCAAAACCCCAGAGGGTTGTTGCTAGTCAGTGTCAGCAGCATTGAGATAAATAGACCAACGGTGTAACTCAGCATGTCAGATTCCTACGTTCCTGTGGGCGTAACTACCATTTCAGTGATGACAAGACAACAAGGGCAGTGTGTATCAAGTCAGAACCTGAGAACCATGATTCTGACAACTGAAAGACAGTTCAGCTGTGACCCCGTCCTCCTGGGCCAGGCGCCACACTGTGAGAGAAGCCGGGGCAGACACGTTCATCATGCCTTGGTGCCCTTCCACGTGCCCTGTTGCAAAATAGGCTCTCCTGTGGGATATAACAGAAACACCATCTCTCTCAAGTCCTGCTGACTCAAGTGTTCCCGTGCAACGTCTAGAGGGGGAGAATCACACTTACTGGCAAGTTTCATGAGGGGGTGGTCGAGAAATGCAGTTTTCCGCAAATTACATTGTGCTGTCTCCCAGATGGCATGCTGATGGGCAGGCTAAATAACCACCTGCTGGTATCGAGATGGTTGCTCCTCCATTTGCTGAAAGTTTTCTGCCTGTGTCTGCAATAGTGAAAATGTTAAATCCCTTAAGAATAAACCTCAGCATTTCCCCAAGTAGATTTAGCACTGTCTTTGTTCAATGCTTTATTTTTTTTGCATCATTTACAAATAGAATTTTATAGAGAGAAAGTTTTTTTAAAAAACAAACAATGCTTCAAATCAACAAATAATAGAAAAGCCTGTTCCCTCGATTCTGCCACCTATTCAGCCATCACACCTCTGCTACTCTTCATCTGTGCCTTTGTAATTATTTACTCCTACAACCCATACCCTCTCATCTACCTCCTGAATTAATACCATTCTCCATAGCAGATACCCCTATTCATTTTGAAAAGATCTTCATTCCCTTAAGTATCCTATGTTATTGGTACTTACAAGCATCAGTGACTCAATATGGCTCTCCTTTGCTTTTATTTTAGCACTGAGCTTAACCAAGGTTTTTGTCGGCTTGCTACTGAATTCTCTCTCTTGCTCTCTCTCTGAAAAGTTCAGGTTATTAATGAGAAAGGTACATAGCATTGTTCAGTAGTTTCTGGCGACGTATATAGGGCACACGTAATTTTTTTTCAGTGAACATTTTAGGAACCTAAGAAGATGACTTTTACTGAGTCAGGACATTAAGTCTGGCTCAGCATTGTCTACACTGACTGAAAGCAGCTCTCCAGAGTGCCAGACAGAGTCTTTCCCCAACCCTGACTTGGAGATATTGGGGTTTGAACCTGGTACTTTCTGTATGCAAAGCCTATTGCTCCACATCTACACTACCACTGATCCTGCGGTCTGGTCAGCTGCAAGATTGCTTTCTTTTCATTTTCTACCCAAACTCCCACAATGCTCTGCTTCCTCTGTCAGGCCTTTTCTATTCTGGTTTTTGTAGGGCCTTCCTTGACGGAGCGTCTTGGCTTCCGTGCTTCACAAAGAAGAGTTGTGAATGTCTAAAGCTGTCACAGACTGAATGTGCAGAAGTTGTTTCAACTAAAGATGTCATTTCCCCTTCAAATATATGTAATATGAAAAGGATACTTGCAGCGTGTGAATGTGCTGCCAACTCTCTTTATATTAATGCCTGCCTCAGCTGCCAGTCTTGTCTCTCTCCCTGCTCACTTGATGGCTTGGCTGTACCGCTGCTGCCTCCTCCGCCGCCTGGGAAACGAAGAGCCAGACTAAGCCTGAGAGGTGAAATGTCTGCATCTACTATCAAATACCACCGGCTCTGAGGGCCCAATAATTATGGGGTAGGAAACCTTTTTCAGCCCAAGGTCCACATTCCCCTAAGAGATACATTCCAAGGGCTGCATGCCAGAGGTGGATGGGGAAGAGCTGGTGAAGCAACAAATGTAAATTTTTATCTTCGCACAGTTGGCTAGCTTCTACACACATTCACACACCCCTTTCGAGGCAAGCAAGGGGGAGTATTAGAGTTCACAGATACATTCTATCCAGGAAAAAAATATTTGGGCTGCAAAGCAGAGCCAGTAACAGGTGTGTGTGTGTGGGGGGGGCGGTTCAAGAGGGCAAGAAAGAGATTTCTGGCGGGCTACATGGATTTGGCCTCAGTGGCTGAGGTTCCTCACCCCTGCAGTAAAATGTGTGAGTGTGTGTGTGAGTGGATATCTCTCTCTTTTTCTCTCCCCTGAGAAAAATCCCTCTAGTGGGGTAGGAGAGCTGAAAATAATGCCAACATATTTCACATCTGGCAACCAATGTTCCCCTTTGGTTTTGGATAGTACATGGGTAGGTGAGTCTAAAAAGCCCAGGACA